AGTACACTCTGTTCTCAAACAATTTGTTAGCAATAGAACAAATACTAACGTAGTCATATACGTTTAAATCAAACTCTTTCAATATGTCATTGCGGAACTTAACAAAACCTTCTCTTAAAATTCTTACATCTTGTTTGCAATAAAATGTGCTATACTTTTCTAAGTCGAAGTGGTTTTCATCTATTCTGCAGTTTTCGATTAAATCTATGTTTTTCATGAATGTATCCGCATCCGGATAAACTTACATGCTTCAGAAATGACACCAGTTCTGTTGTCATTTGCTAACAAAACACTGCTGTAGTAGTTGTATGGAAATACTTCTTTCGGTCCTGTTTGTAAGTTAAACATAGCAGGAAATAGTTTAAGCTTCTTATTTATAACACTGTAAGAGTCTTTTATAATAATTGCCCTTCCTTTATATAAGCCAGTTATTTGCATTGTTCGTGAACCTTTAATGATGGGAGTTCCTTTCACTTCTGTCATGTGTCTTAAGATGAAGTTTATATCATAACTGAGGTTATGGAAATATATTAAACTCTTGTCAGGAAGTCGTTCCAAAAATTCTGTTGCACAGTTCTGACCCCAAATGCTTTCACTCACTGAACCATCTTCACTGTCGTAACAGATGTTAAAAGCTTTATGAAAGCCATCGTACTGCACTCAAAGTCAGCAAAGAAAACGTGCTCAGGAATGAACTTGCACTTATTTTTATTTACTTCTTTTGACTCGGCTTTCTTCTTCAGTTGTACACAATACTTTGGAGCATATGTCAAATCTTTAAATGGTGCAAGGTTCTGTTTATATAAGTCAGTCGTATATGTGAAAAGTTCTCCATAAGAAATAGGTTCGAAATATTTGCACTCCCACAATGTTTTCATAACATCCCATAACGGTGTTGTTCTATCATAACGAACTACATATTTATCTTCTCTCTTTGTATAAATCTTCATCTGTTTCTCAATGTTCATTCCACCACAAGCTTTGAGAATTTCTATATAGTTTCGAATGAAATATGTTGTCATTGGTAATCTTTCGTTTAGCATGTAGTGGTCTTCAACAAGAAGTAAGTCAATAGTTCTAACAGTTTCACATTCTTTTGGTATATATCTCTTTATTTCATTATGTCTTGAGTCATTGAAATAACCAATGGTAACATTAAATGCTATACCTGTTGCGTCAGAAATTTCTTGTACTTTACTTTGAGGAAAGTCTCTAACACGAATGACTTCTCTCATGTGGTCAATAGTTTCTTCTTATCTACTCCAGCCTGAATGCAAGCATAAACGAAACAATTGTCTCTGTCATAAGTGCTGCAGTTCTTTTGTTCAATTCATTGAAGATTTGGTAGCGTCAAGATTTATAGGTAATGTGCAAAGATACTTCCAGAACTGACCGCTTCTCTTCTTATAAAACTTCTTTTCACCATTATCTTTCCAAAAGCTTTCTATAAGTGCTGGGTTTCCTGTTTGCTTAAGAGCTTCCAAAATGGCTTTCTGGTCATTTGTCAGTGTGCTTTCATCTCTATATGGTCTCTTTTTTGGTTTGCCTTTCTTTACATCTGACATCGTTAAGCCTTCATATTCTGTTAAATCATACATCTTTATTTCGTAAGATTCTTTATGTTTGTCAAGAAGAAGTCATAGTGCATTTCAACAATACCTGCAGCATTTGCTTCTATCTCTGATATAAAGTTCTCCTTCAAGAGCTGATGTAGTAATGTTCCAATATTATTGAGGTTTAACGTAGAACATTCATACTTTCCACCAAGTTTATAACATACCATCCATCTCTGTTGTGAGTTTATTTTAATTTTCTCTAAGAGTCTCATGAAAACCTTACCGAAATGTTTGTGTAAGTAGTCTCTGTTTGGTTCATCTAAAGCTTCGATGTTAAAGTCAATGAGTCTATTGCCTGACTTCACATTCTCTTCCTATTCTCTTCATCTTTCTTTAACCATCTCTCACCTTCTTTTGGTTTGTCGTCAATGGAACGAATGACATCGTTAGCTTTGCGAACTTGTTCTATAGCACTTTTAAACATCTCTCTTCTCTGTTGTTTCAGTGTGTCGTCTCTTCTTCTGTTTCACCAACGTTTGCATTTGTTATGTCAAACATTTCTCTTCTTACTTCATGAGGTACTGAACGTCTATGATATAAGTCAATAGCAAGTCATTTAAAGGAAATGCTCTTGCATGGACTTCGTCCTCGCCGCGTTGCGGCTTTATGAACTCATGAATTCTATCATAACTTATTGCACCATTATAGTCATTGAGGATGTCAGCGAGTGCTTTTTTGTTTGTCGCGTAATGTTTTGCAACATCTATGTTAGCTTCTGTAAGAAGTTGTTTTATTTCCGAGTGTTCTAACTTAGACAACTTCCGATACATCTTTAGTAGGAAATAAAAAAATATTTTTTGAAAAAATTAGATTAGATTTTTTAAGTTATTTTTCAAAATAATTTAATATTTTTATTTTAATGAAACACATGCAAGATTGCAAGTTCTTTTCATACAATGCTCTCGCTAATGCCATCAAGAATGAGTTCAATAATGCTTCAAATGTTAATGTTATCTTTAACAAGAAGTTTGTGAAAGAATCTAAGTTTGGTCAGTATGTCAGACCATTAGCTATCGTCATTGACCGCAAACGTTATACTTCACAAGAGTTAGCAGTAGTTTTGAAACAAAAGAGTTTCTTCGTGAATGTCAAAGATACACTATACTGTTATAAAGAACTCTAACATTGACTTCTTCAGTATTGCTATGAATCTTTCCGAACAGAAAGAATATAAGAAGGTGAAACAATGTGAAATATTATCCTTCATCTCTGAAGACAATAACGAACAAAGATGTTATACAAAAATTCTTACCAAAGGTTGAAGAAGCTTCTATTGACATTGACGAAGGAAGTGAAATGGTTGAAGAAATTGATCCTGAAGCTTTATAAGAAAATTTATTTTTGAATAACTGATGGTGTCACCACGTCACCATGTCACCAGGTTAATTAACTTCTCTTAAAAATGATGACAACATGACATTTTGACAACACAGCAGGATTAATGCAAAAATATTTTTAGGAGAGAATGGAGCGTTTATGGAAACAATTAAATGGTAAAAACAAAATAAACTTGACGATCAGACGATTGTCTGTTCGTCAATTATAATCGACATGGAGCGTTTATGGAAACAATTAAATGGTAAAACCAAAATAAACTTGACGATCAGGCGATTGTCTGTTCGTCAATTATAATCGACATGGAGCGTTTATGGAAACAATTAAACTTGACAGAGGGTTTTGTTTTTATCGTGGTTTTCTCCACTATGGTCCTAACGTAGCACCCGACAAGATTTTTTTCATTCTTCCTCTTTGAAGTTGTCGAATTACTGTGTTATTTTTTCCTTCAGTAATGTTAAGTCTTCTTTGAATGTAAGTATTGTACAACCTTTGATGTCATAGTGTGTTTGAGGAAGAGTATTTTTGACAATTTCCTTTATTTGCTCATTCGGTGTCATTGAAATCGGTAAGTTTTCACGATAGAACCAGTTTCTGTCAGATTTATATATCTTAGCGAGGTCATAAAAGCTTTTGTTGTTTCTTCTCACTAAGTGCAACATAACCATATCTTTATCTTCTTCTTTCTCCAACTCTTCAGTATATATCATATACTTATAACTCTTTTCCTTTCCTTTTGGTACTGTACGTGGTATTCTTTTCTGTATGCTTTCGTCTTCTTTCATCATATCTTCTCTCTGCTTTGTACAAAGTTCGTCAAGTAGCATAAGTATGTAGATTGCATAACGAGGTGAAGCCCACATTGCTATTGAACTAACTAGGAACTTATGAACATATATACCTTTTAGATGTGATGGTAAGTTTTGTCTGTCTTGGTACATCTTTTTAAGTTCTACATGTTCAAAACTCACTGAGGAGTTCATGAGTGCTATTTAATTCAAACCATTCATTTGGTGTTTTATTCTCTGGAGCAAAACATGCTGTCAAAATACTTTGCACCTGGTACATGTCGTCTTTGACAGAACGAATGAGACGTAACTGTTTGTTATACTGTATGTACTCGTATTCTTCATTTATGACTTCATGGACTATAACTGTTGTTGTGTTCTCTAATGTTGTCATTACTGTTTCTTATATACAAGATAAAAAATTTTGTTAGAAAAAAATTAGCGTTATTTTCTGACTTTCACAAAAGACCAAAAATAAACGCTTTACATGTATTTTTCAGCAACTTCGTCAAATAATTTTATAGCTTTATCTATCTCATCTACTTCAAACGTTTCTTTACCTTTCATGGGAGCACCATACCTTTTCTCAAACTTTTCAAGTAGTTCTGTTTCAGCAGCTCTCATATCATTAACGAACACAACCTTGACTCTATTGACTGTACTGTCATATCTTTGAGTTATATTATATGTTCTTCCTATCTTATATCTCTTTGTATTGAAGTCCTTCGGTTTCTGAACGATGTAAAGTAAGCCTTCACTGCAACGTTCTGAGTCGAATGAACCATAAGTTATGAAGTTATATCCAACAACTGGGTCTAACCATAACAAAACTATTGGTATAAGACTTTTGTCTATAAGATATACTCTTGTTCCATGAAATGCTACTGATATCATAAGCTCAGGATTTCTTGTCAAAATTTTCTGAGTAGAAGCAATTCTAACCCAGTCCTTTGTTTTCTTTCCAGATGGTGTTATAATGTCTGACAAAGAATATTTGTTGTATTTCTTACAGTATCTTACGTTTAAATCACCAATTCTAACCACTTTGGTGTCATTGTCAATCTTTCTAACTGTTTCAAACTCAATGTTTGTCATTACTGTCTTTACATACAAAATAAAAAAATAAATAAAAATAAAACTAACTTTATTTTTTTCTATCTAATGAAATTCATTATTTTTGTGCTGAATTCAATAAAAATATATTTTAGGGTAGATGGTTAGATCTAACCCGATATCTAACCTCATTTCTACCCCAGTTATTTTATAAACGTTTTACATGGTAAACGTTATGAATTCGTGAGATTCTAAACAGTTTTGTAGCTTCTATTTCTTCGCTGAGGATATCAAAAGTTTTAACAATGCCGAAGGTTTCTTTATACTTCTTCTTGACGTCAGATAATAGGAAATCGTCAGCAGTTGGATAGTTTTTATTCAGAAATGCTAACATGTCCATTTTATTTTCTGCTGGTTTTTCTGCTTCTTTCTTTAAGTCTGCATAGTGGTTTCTCATACGTTCTGTCTCTTTGACGGAGTAGTTATATTTCCTCATTGCTGCTTTACATTTAGAACATTGCGGATTCATTTTTGCGTTATACATTGAAATAAAACCAGCTAGAACAACCAAGGCGTCAATGGTTTTCTTTAACTCAAAGGCTGTTGGTTTTATTTGTCCATTCCATACTTTACCTCTTCTATCTTTATCTCTTATCTGCCATACACATTTTGCAACTAATGAAACAAAGTTGTCGTATGTCTTAAACTCCCCAGATTTATATATGTCAGAGATGTTCTTATATACCATGTCGCAATCTTTGTCCATAACTTTATGGTTGCAATGATATCCTAGAAACTCATAGTTTACTTTACGTATGAACTTCTTTATTTCTGCAGAATCACTAACTTTAACTTCTATTTCATCGAATTCAGGAATAGTGAGTTTTTGTTGTTGGATTTCAGGCAATTTGGGTAAATGGTCAATAATGTCCTGCATGTCATAAAGATATTCTTCATTTTCTTCATCCTGTGCGGTACAGTCTAAATTACTTGTTAAAAGTTCCTGCTTAATTTTTTGTATTTCTGTTTCGAAAGTAAATGAAGAAGGAATGAAGCTTTTCATCTCTACTAACATAGATGTTGGATTCATGACTAACGAGTTTGGTGCTGTTGTTTGAATTGTTGTTGTGCCGATTGTTGAAATCATATCTTTTATACAAAATAAAAAAATAAATAAAAATAAAACTAACTTTATTTTTTCTATCTTAAGGAAATTCATGAAAATTCAAGAGGGTAGAAATGAGGTTAGATATCGGGTTAGATCTAACCATCTACTCTAAACATTATTTTTGGTGTAAATTTATGAAAACATGAATATATAAAATTCATGAAAATTCAAGAGGGTAGAAATGAGGTTAGATATCGGGTTAGATCTAACCATTCTACTCTAAACATTATTTTTGGTGTAAATTTATGAAAACATGAATATATAAAATTCATGAAAATTCAAGAGGGTAGAAATGAGGTTAGATATCGGGTTAGATCTAACATCTACTTCTAAAACTATTTTGGTTGAAATTTATGAAAACATGAATATATAAAATTCATGAAAATTCAAGAGGGTAGAAATGAGGTTAGAGATCGGGTTAGATCTAACCATCTACTCTAAACATTATTTTTGGTGTAAATTTATGAAAACATAATATATAAAATTCATGAAAATTCAAGAGGGTAGAAATGAGGTTAGATATCGGGTTAGATCTAACCATCTACTCTAAACATTATTTTTGGTGAAATTTATGAAAACATGAATATATAAAATTCATGAAAATTCAAGAGGGTAGAAATGAGGTTAGATATCGGGTTAGATCTAACCATCTACTCTAAACATTATTTTTGGTGTAAATTTATGAAAACATGAATATATAAAATTCATGAAAATTCAAGAGGGTAGAAATGAGGTTAGATATCGGGTTAGATCTAACCATCTACTCTAAACATTATTTTTGTGTGTAAATTTATGAAAACATGAATATATAAAATTCATGAAAATTCAAGAGGGTAGAAATGAGGTTAGATATCGGCGTTAGATCTAACCATCTACTCTAAACATTATTGGTGTAAATTTATGAAACATGAATATATAAAATTCATGAAAATTCAAGAGGGTAGAAATGAGGTTAGATATCGGGTTAGATCTAACCAATCTACTCTAAACATTATTTTTGGTGTAAATTTATGAAAACATGAATATATAAAATTCATGAAAATTCAAGAGGGTAGAAATGAGGTTAGATATCGGGTTAGATCTAACCATCTACTCTAAACATTATTTTTGGTGTAAATTTATGAAAACATGAATATATAAAATCATGAAAATTCAAGAGGGTAGAAATGAGGTTAGATATCGGGTTCGGAGTTAGATCTAACCATCTACTCTAAACATTATTTTTGGTGTAAATTTATGAAAACATGAATATATAAAAAATTCATGAAAATTCAAGAGGGTAGAAATGAGGTTAGATATCGGGTTAGATCTAACCATCTACTCTAAACATTATTTTTGGTGTAAATTTATGAAAACATGAATATATAAAATTCATGAAAATTCAAGAGGGGGTAAGAAATGAGGTTAGATATCGGGTTAGATCTAACCATCTACTCTAAACATTATTTTTTGGTGTAAATTTAGAAAACATGAATATATAAAATTCATGAAAATTCAAAGAGGGTAGAAATGAGGTTAGATATCGGGTTAGATCTAACCATCTACTCTAAACATTATTTTTGGTGTAAATTTATGAAAACATGAATATATAAAATTCATTGAAAATTCAAGAGGGTAGAAATGAGGTTAGATATCGGGTTAGATCTAACCATCTACTCTAAACATTATTTTTGGTGTAAATTTATGAAAACATGAATATATAAAATTCATGAAAATTCAAGAGGGTAGAAATGAGGTTAGATATCGGGTTAGATCTAACCATCTACTCTAAACATTATTTTTGGTGTAAATTTATGAAAACATGAATATATAAAATTCATGAAAATTCAAGAGGGTAGAAATGAGGTTAGATATCGGGTTAGATCTAACCATCTACTCTAAACATTATTTTTGTAAATTTATGAAAACATGAATATATAAAATTCATGAAAATTCAAGAGGGTAGAAATGAGGTTAGATATCGGGTTAGATCTAACCATCTACTCTAAACATTATTTTTGGTGTAAATTTATGAAAACATGAATATATAAATTCATGAAAATTCAAGAGGGTAGAAATGAGGTTAGATATCGGGTTAGATCTAACCATCTACTCTAAACATTATTTTTGGTGTAAATTTATGAAAACATGAATATATAAAATTCATGAAAATTCAAGAGGGTAGAAATGAGGTTAGATATCGGGTTAGATCTAACCATCTACTCTAAACATTATTTTTGGTGTAAATTTATGAAAACATGAATATATAAAATTCATGAAAATTCAAGAGGGTAGAAATGAGGTTAGATATCGGGTTAGATCTAACCATCTACTCTAAACATTATTTTGGTGTAAATTTATGAAAACATGAATATATAAAATTCATGAAAATTCAAGAGGGTAGAAATGAGGTTAGATATCGGGTTAGATCTAACCATCTACTCTAAACATTATTTTTGGTGTAAATTTATGAAAACATGAATATATAAAATTCATGAAAATTCAAGAGGGTAGAAATGAGGTTAGATATCGGGTTAGATCTAACCATCTACTCTAAACATTATTTTTGGTGTAAATTTATGAAAACATGAATATATAAAATTCATGAAAATTCAAGAGGGTAGAAATGAGGTTAGATATCGGGTTAGATCTAACCATCTACTCTAAAATATATTTATGTTAAAATAAATGGTACCATTAATGATATCATGACTGTTCTCGTTCATGTCTGATTTACATCTAATGAAAAAGTTTAGAAGAATTTTCTTATTCTTTCTGGCTTATTTTTGTCTTTCCAATACTCCCGCTCTAATGGTCCCAGATGTGTTGGCTTTGACTCTCTCAAGTTCTTAGATGGTATAACATCTTCAACGCCTCCTTCATATCTTACTTTATAAGTGTCATCGTTTATGTTGTAGCCAAGTATTTCAATAACCACTCCTCGCTTTGCTTCGTCAATGGTTTCAGCAAGTTTGCCATTACTACTTTCAACTAACTTATGTCGAGGATAAAATGCAATGGAGTCGTCAGCAGCTTTTATAAGATATCCATTACCTTGCGTAGAGTCTACGATATAATAATTTCGACTTAACCTTAAACGTTTCTTTGTCAACGGTTTGTCGTCAAGAACTACATGAACTTTTGTACCAGGAATGAGGGTAAATTGTGTTGAATTTCTGATATTTTGTGTTTGACTTCGTTTCTTTTGTATATACTTTTCTTCTTGTTGTTGTGTCATTGAATTTGGTGTATGTCCTGTTGTAGAATGTGTTGAGGAATTATATACTTCGAGAAAATGTTTCATTGTTTCTTCGGTAAAGTCTCGCTCTTGATTTAAATCTCTGAGAGTCCTTATGAAGCTGTTTATGATGCCGAGTATGTTATGGTTATGGTCTTCGGTAGTGTAGTGAGTTATGTTATGCTCAATGAGAAAATCTGTGATTTCATTGCTGAGGTATGCACTGTCTTGGTCTGATGTTAAAGTACTTGGGCTATGTTCTGCTACAAACTTTTGTAAAACTCTTAACACTTCACGAGCTCCTTTATTTTTCATTGAATATGCATATGCTTTACGAGTGTTAACATTAATGAAGATGAGGAATGGTTTATGTCCTCCTTTTCTGCTTTGAATGAGAGTGTCAAATTGGTATGCGTCAGGAGCGTTGGAGTAAATTGGTAAAAAGTAGTCGTAAGGGTTTTTTTTGTTTGATGTACAACATTTTTGTCAAAGAACCTTTTCACTTCAGCTCTGTTAGTAAATCCCCAACTCTTTGCAGCTTCATTGAACTTCTTAAATGACCTCCATGGATGTTGTTCGAATACTTCTTTCAAGCTCATTTATGTAAAGTTAAAGATTTTATTTCAAGACGGTAAGCCTTGACCAAAGGGTCTAGGCTCAAAGCGCGTTCATTGAACGCGGTACCATGCAATACAGTCATAAATGGTGGCATGTAATCTTCACCCGAGCCGTTGGATTTGTTGTGAAAGTATGGATATGATTTCCTCCTGTTCAGTTGGTCGAAAAGTCTTTTTGCTGAATTGTTATAAGATGGAGATAAAACGTCATGGCCAGCTTCATAGTCGAGTTGTATAATGGGTGTCTCTTAATGAGTGACTATGGTCGCCAGAAAAGTTTGTAGTTCCTGAATGAGTGTGCGGTGGAAGGTTTGCTTCTAAATTTCTTTGAACCACCTGTTTGCTTTGAAGAGTTAGCACAGTATAAGAATTTGTCTACAATCTGCTGCCATGTACCAAAACCCAGAACTGTTGCGGGATTTGTTGAATTCATTGACGTATAAATAGAGCCTATAGGATATATGGTTTCAAGAATCTGAGTCTTTAATGTTTGAAGCTCTGTTTTATCTGCTTTAAGGTCTAAACATCCTGAAACCCATCCTGTATCAGCTTTAACTTTAAAAGTCTCCGATGTCCATTCATGATACCATTCAACCTTTTCTTTAATTTCATTATCTTTTTCATCAACATAAGTTTTATCTGCTTTCTTATCATATAAATCTTGAGCAGTGAATTTAACATTATTTTCATCATCCATGACATAAACATTTTTACAGCTAATTTCTTTCTTCGTTGTTATGTTTTCATTCGATGTTAAACCTTGTGGAAAGTTAGGAGGTTTATAATATAATGCATCCCCACCAGTTCCGCCAACCGTTCCTTCAATACTTTCTATAGCAACAGTTGTGAAGAATTTATGTGTATGTTCTTTATCTGCTTTTTTATCTAACATTGCTGGTAGTTCATATGCTTCAAAGTTTCTGGCATGACCTTCAATGTTCATACATTTACTATTTAAGGAGTTTAGTGTATCTTTTACGCTTGTACTTGGATTCTCTAAAGGTGCACTTGAACCAAGGGTATAGTTCAATATTATGTCGTCTGCTCTAACAGTAGTGAAGGATTTATGTGTATGGTTCTTGTCAGCTTTATTATTTAATGTAGCTTGAAGTTCATTATATCGGAGATATTGTGTTTATGAGATTTCAAAACTTTGTTCGTTGCGTCAAGTTCATCTTTGTCAGCTTTACTTTTAATAGCATCTTCAAAGTTATTTTTGCCTTAACTCTCAATGTAAATCTTGGTTCAACTAATACACCGTTAACAAAGAAATACGAAGCATATATTTCATTGTTATAACCAAATGCTTCTGGTGCTTTACCTGTGTCATACTGTACAGTACAGTGTATGTCATAACCTTTAGCACGAATGAATTTATATCTTCTTTCATTAACATCTTCAGTGCTTATTTGTTCATCCTGTGTTAAATATCCATGGTAGTCCGTTATAATCTGTTCGTCTGAACTTATATAATGAACATGATTTTTATCTGCTTTTTCGGCTAATTTCTCTTCTATCTCATTTATTTCAAGTTCATGCCTACCACCACCTCCGAAGAAGTATTTTTCTTCAGCTCTTGAAGAACGTCCACTTCGCCATCTTTTGGTGTCAATAATGAGACTTTGAGTTAAAACCTTTCCTGTCTTAATGGATGTTTGTAAAACTTCTTCTTCACCCGTGTTCGGGGTCATAGTCGTCATCATATCTTGTGAAATCAGAGATGTTGTCATACATTAAGCATATCTGTCTCAAAAGTTCTGCTATTTGAAACTGGAACGAAAGATATACAGAACTTTCATCATCTCCTAAAGTCAAGTCTGCTTTCTTAAGTATTTCTTGAATGTATGCAATGAGAACAGAGTACCTTGGAAAATATTCGAACAATATTTCATTAGCTGTTGGTTTTGGTGGTTCTTCTGGAGTTTCTGTTGTTTCAGTTCCTTCTGTAGGTTCTGTTGGAGTTTCTGCATCTCTTGACTTCAATGCTCTTGCTCTCAAAGACCTAAATGTTAGAGCACCAGGTTTTACAAAGGACTTTATAAATGCTTTAATAGTTCCTGGTAAGTTATTGTTAGCATTAAGTAAGTTCCTTATGCTTCCATCATGTACGTCCATAGCACTATGTAAAAAATCTATACTTTTCTTGTAGTCAGCAATAGACTGACTGTGATTTTTTAAAGATTTGTCAATACCTTTAAGCCAATCTTCATGCATGTCTGATACTGAGCCAAGAATATCATTTGCTTCCTTTAGTGTATTTTGTGCTTCTCGTAAAGTATCCAATCCCGTACGTGCATTGTTTGCTATACGTCTTACAGTATCTATTTGACTCCTTGTTTCTTGCATCCAACCAGATAAAGTTTTAATAGTATCAGAACCATTTGAAATGAAGTTCAAAGCATTTTTAACGTCATCTAAAACTTCTTCACCAAGTACTGCCCATATCTTTCCGATTTGGTATTGAAGAACTCCATATGAAGCAGCTGTTAAACCAGTATTTATAAGGTTCCATATCCATGCTTTAGCAGTTTTTCCATCCTTTCCATCCAAACCGTTTTCGCCTTGAGGTCCTTGTATTCCTTGTATTCCTTGTGGTCCTTGAGCTCCAGTGTCACCCTTCTCTCCTTTCAGTTCATCTTTATGTTCGTTATAATATTCTAATGTCATAAGGTGTACATCATTACTGCTACCAGCAACGCCGAGAATTTGTTTCTCATTCATGACTAAATTCTTTAGGCATTTAATGTTGTCGTCAAATCGAAAGCTCTTTAACAATTCAATGAGAACATTTAATACTTTCACTAATGAGGCATCTACTGTAGAATTTATATATTGCACCGTTCCATCATTTATGATGGGAACCTTGCTTGTTGTAATGAATGGGTCATAAGTGTTAAAAGTATCGAAATCAATGACTTTTTTAGTCTTTCCATCGTCAATGACTAAATCATTGCCTTCAATGGTTAAAGTTGAGTTTTCGTTTACTAGTTCATGTGCTCTTCTTGCTTCATTTGTTTCATACGCATATGCAGCAATAGTCATATTTTAATGAGAATAAAATGTTGTTCTATTTGCAAAGTACAGACCCAAACGAATACGGGACAGTAAAGCTACAAACAAACTTAGGTCTTCAGAATGAAGCGCTTGCTTTCAGAGTTGTTGACTTCAATACTATCGCAACTTTTGTCATAACAGATGAAACAGATTTCATAGAGATTGAAATAGATGACAAAAGAAGTGTTATAACATTTCCTAACAGAGCTGGGTATAGAATATATAAAATTGCTGGAGTCATAGATACTCTCATAAATGAAGAAACTATTGACAACATAGATGTCGAACTCTCTTCTGAGGGAACATTGAAGTTCAGCAGCGAGAAAGAGTTTAAGATACCAAGAATGAGTCATAGAGTACAACTTCTTTTGGGTGCATACCATATGACATTTCCTTTGAAAAGTGTTGACAAAACGATTGAGATGAAATCTGTTCCATACGTATGTTATGGCAATTGTTTATACATTGAGTCTAAAATAGCTAATGTCACAGGCATTTCAGGAGTTAATAGTAAAGGTTCAGTAGAATATAAATCCTTCTGTTATGCAGTCAATTCAATGTTCATTCCAAATGTTCCTGTCATAGCAACTCATTTAGGTAAATGGGTTCGCATTAGTCCTCATAATTTGAAAGACATGCAATTCAGACTTGTTGACTTTCAAGGAGAGCCTGTAGAACTGAAGGCACCAGTGCGAATGACTGTTGAAGTTGACTTTTTAGATAATATTAAATGCAACAGCTTACAAGAGAACTCAGAGCTAAAAATATAAAGTATGAATGTTATGTATTAGGTCATGAACTTTGGTTGTTGCTGTTTGATGAAACAAATGAGTTAGTTATGTCAGTCAAGAGAACAGAAAAATATTGTGTTAGTGAAAACTGCACCAAGTCAATAAGATTAGGTTTGCATTATGAAGATGAGTTCGATACTGTTGAAGAAGTTTTGGACAGATACTATAAGTTGTTAACTTGAAATTTTTTTGACTGACGGCGCAAAGCACCAAGACCGAAGGTCCTGACTGCTTTAATTTACTAAAACATATTTCAAACAAAGCTTATAGTCAGTAGATAGTTTTGTATACTCGTTCGAATATTTATACTTAAACTCAACTCCTGTAGTTCCTGGTGTTTCAATGATGCGGATGTTACCTATTTTCATGAATAGTGGAGTTTGACCACAGCATTCGATTTCAGGGTCGAGATAGTCAATGACACATTGTTTCCCTGTTATTCGTGAGATAACATTTTCAAGGTCCTCCTTTGTTAGAATTATTTGGTTCTTGCTTATAAGATTTGTCAAAAGCTTCTTATCGTCTTTGAGTAAAATTGTTTGGTATAACTGAAGAAGGTAATGGTCTACGTTATCTGAAGAATTTGTTTGAACATTTGTGTAAGGATTGTCGTTGGCTTCTCTTGAAAGAACTTGGTCCAGTGGTGGATACTCTAACTTAACATCTGATGTAGTGTTAGCGTTTGAAGCTGAGTTTAAATTCACCGACTTAAGTTCTGGTTCTTTTTCTTTCAAACACTCCGAACTATAGTTCTTTATGACAATATTGTTTGTCGTTCGTGAGTCAACATTTGATGTTGGTTCAATTGGAACATTAACGGCACCAGCTAAGATGGATTTGCTTCTCATTTCATATAGAATAAAAACCTTTTATATGTATGAAATGAACAATATACTCGACAAGGGTTTGAATGTAAAGCTAACGAATGAAAATATTGTTGAATTCACTGAGACAGGAGCTGTGTATAAAGATGTAGAACTACAGAACAAAAGAGCTAAGGGAAGAAGCAGGAACATGAACAAAGGGTGGAAGCCTATAAAAATTTATGTCAATGATGGCTCAGGAGGTTCAAACATAAAGTATGCAGAAAGTTATAGAGTTTATGCGCTAAAAGGTGAGAAGCCTTCATTTAAGAACAGCTATTCTAACACATATCCTCAAAAGCTAACGGATGGGGAAGTGGATGATATGAATGACAGCAAAAATATTAACAGAAATGGCGACAGAGATGCATGGAATTTGTTTACCATCAGTCAATTGAAGGTTAAGCTTTAAAATAATGTTGGTCGTTCCCATGGAATATTTTTGACTTTAATGGTATTAGTCATGATATGAATCTCAAGGTATGAACGAGGAGAGATGAGAGACTTATATGCTTCCCAAATTTCTTCAAAAGGTAATGTTATACCTGACTGTTTCCAAATGAGTTCAATATCATAACGTGAGAAACCTTGAAAGATAACGAAGTCAGTTATGAGACGTTTTATGTTTAAAGCTAAAAACCTCCATGTTTGCATAAGTATTGCTACAGTTAAGGATAATGTCTGACTTTAGTAATGATGTTAGCTAATGGTGAGTCTGGTTTTGACACTAAACCTTTTCCGGCGAAGTCGTCACAAACGAGCAGAGTGTTTGAAGGATATTTTTTGAAGGGGTATTTTGAAAGTTTTGATAGAATGTAGTTTGTCAGTCGTTTCATATCGTAAACTCCTGAGTACTGACGTAAGTGGTGTTTGTCAATAATTCTTTCCATCTCCTCAGAGGTCTTTTGCATTCCTGACTGTATAAATTCAACGATGGCATAATATTTCCTCTTACGTCGAATGTAACGTTGAAGAAATTCAATGAGTTCACTGTCTGGAACTTTAACGACAGAGGCTTGAACTTTTGACATAAATGTTTTCGCTGTTGAATCCATAGAGTCTGAAGTTGCTGATATAATGATTTGGTCATAGTAAGAGTCGTTTCCTAAACGCTCTGTTATGAGTATATGACGAATGAGGTTAAATGTCTTTCCTGACCCCATCTTTCCACAATAGAAATACACACCATTTGAACAGAACTCATAGTCCTTACTGAAAGGAAGAATGAGAGAAGAGTTAAGTTTATCTGTGGTTTCATTCATGTCTTCATCTACTTCTTCAAATAAATGTTTCATTTTATTATAATTAAAAATGCAAGTCAGAAATATTCAGAACATAGCACCGAGTCTAACTGACAAGAGTATAAAGATATACTATGAACACGTTATGATGAAACCAACCAAAATTCAAGAAAGTCAGTATACTTATGAATATCCAAGACACTGGGTAGAGTATGTAGGAGGTGAGAAAGCTATTGAAATCAGACAAGTTAGAAGTATTCCAGCAGGAAGAACAATATTATTGAAGAACTTTAATGTTTTGAGATATAATGATGAAACAAAGAAGCAAGATAGTTTCCCTGTTGCTGTGTATGTGAACCTAGACACAGGAGATGACATGAAAGTTTTTAATACAAAGCTTCAAACGGTAGTGAGAGAACAACTTACTGCGGAAGGGCATCCATTACCTTCAGAAGTTACCATAGCATATAATTTTGAAACAAACTCAATAGATTTTAAAGTCATCTCTGCAAAGAAGTCAGGTTTTACATTTAATGAAGCAGATGTATATTCGAATGAAAACTTCAAAGCTATTGCATGGTTAGATAATGACGATTGTTTTAAGAAAATCTTTAAATTCAGTGACTCAAAGATGTCAATTGATGACCTTCGTGGAATGTTACCATCGACGTTTACAGTAGAAGGTTCAGCAGGATTGCTTACAAGTTTTTCAATTGGTGGCATTTGGTCTCGTGAAAACATTGTTATAAAATCCAGTATAAGTGAATTTGCTGAAGAATCTATATTATGTCTTTCAAACTACATGTATTCGCCGCCGAAGCATTATAGTATAACAAACTTTGTCAGTAAGTTTAACATAAGACTTGTCGAACCTTCTTCAATGAAAGATGTTGTGCTACCTAAAGATGGAAAGGATGGACTCATTATTGAGATGATTTTAATAGCATATTAAATGAGCTTGTTCTTGAAGGTCATTCATGATGAAATAACTGTTGTAGAAGATGTTAGCAATTGTTCAGACATTTTGAAGCGTATAGATGATATAAGAAATAAGTTAGATAGACCGCAAAGCGGTGGGCGAAGCCCGTGAGAATGTTTATGTTTCATTGACTTTCTCCAGTAACGAGAACTTTTATGAGATAATATTGAAGAGAGATGATTTTAATATGGTGTAAATGGTAGCTTGGGCAGCTTTAGGCGCAATGGGAACAAAAGCATTAGCATTTGGAGCAAAAGCACTTGGAGCTTATGACGCAGTAAATAAAATGAGTGGAGGTAGGGTTTCGAAGACATTAGATGCAAATAAAGGAAAGATTGGAGGCTGGGTTGCAAAGAAGTTAAGATTAAATAAAATAGGGCTCATAAATAAAGCATCCAATTTGGTTGCGACTGAGTCAGAAAATGCTTTAGGAAAGGACGATGAGTTTGCAAAACACGCAAAAGACTTTAATGACCAGATGAAAGGTGAAACAATGCATTTAAATAGAGTCGATGGAACTAAAGAAAATGTTTCTTCTCCACCAGTAGTTCTTCCGTATGGTCCCTATGGAATGTATGGAAACCCTTATGAACGACCATTTGACCCATTGACTGGTGGAAGTAACTGGTATCATTACGGCCGAAGAAGAAAGACAGTCAAGTTGGAGACAGATGTTAAGAAAGCAACTAAAAAGAAACCAAGGAAGAGAGTTATAAAGCAATGAATTCAACAGGGTAGAAATGAGGTTAGATATCGGGTTAGATCTAACCATCTACCCTAAATTTATTTTTGTGCTATGTTTTCATACGTGTGAGGGTGGTGATATCATTTATTTTTAAGTTTATTTTTATATAAATGACAGAACAAAAATATAACATTTCTACTCAGCAGGAATGAGACCCTTACTGACTATGTATTCGTTTAATGCTTGATGAAAACAATGGTACATATTATCGTATGGGTATACACAACGTCTGTTTCCATCGTCGTCGTATATGTAGAGCTCAAATCCAGTCCAACCTTCTTTTGTACAATATGTAGCTTTATTTAAGTATGCATTTATGTAGATAAGGCAATTTTCTTCATCGCTCCAGAAATAATTTTTGTTCTTTGTTGAAATATTTTTCGTTCCTCTGCGACCATAAGGAATGTATGCAATGAACTTTGCGGCATAAGGGATTGTAATATACTCAGGGTTTCTTTCATCGTCAATGGGTCTGTCTTTGTTAAAATGCATGTTTCTCAGTTTTACTTGAGTTTTGAATAGTTCACGGAAACGTTCTGGGAAAGAGTCATAGTAAATGTAGTCAGACATGTCTTTGTAATGAAATAAAAATTAAAAAAAATAAAAATAAGGTTATTTTTTATTTAGTGAGGACGGTAGTGAATTCGTTAGTGAAGGGCAAACCCAAATTTTAGCTAAAAGTGACAGAAAAAAAAGTTTAGTATTAAAAAAAAGACCGATGAGAGCTTCGTTCGAAATATAGAGGGAACTGAGAATGCGCAACCATTCTCAGGGAATATTGGATGCTATTCCCGTTCCCTCTGTATGGAAAATTGAGGTTTTCAAAGGGAGTTAAAATAATATCAAATTTATACTAATTTACTTCAAAATACAAAAGTATTTGACAGCTAAAATTAGTTACTTTAGCAAGCCTATCAATACCCTTTTACGATTATTGCTACTTTTTCGAAATAAAAGTAAAAACAAATTTATACTAATTTACTTCAAAATACAAAAGTATTTGACAGCTAAAATTAGTTACTTTAGCAAGCCTATCAATACCCTTTTACGATTATTGCTACTTTTTCGAAATAAAAGTAAAAACAAATTTATACTAATTTACTTCAAAATACAAAAGTATTTGACAGCTAAAATTAGTTACTTTAGCAAGCCTATCAATACCCTTTTACGATTATTGCTACTTTTTCGAAATAAAAGTAAAAACAAATTTATACTAATTTACTTTCAAAATACAAAAGTATTTGACAGCTAAAATTAGTTACTTTAGCAAGCCTATCAATACCCTTTTACGATTATTGCTACTTTTTCGAAATAAAATAAATTTATTATCAAAAACCTTTTTTTTCTTAGTAAAAATAAACGAAATTTTTTACCTTATGAACTTTTGATGGAAATATGCAAATTTAAAATAATAAAGAAAGCCGCGAGCGAAGCGATCGGCTTAGTTCGAAGATTTTGATTCAAATCTTTGCTGATCTGTAATTCGCGGAAGCCGCGAGCGAATCGAGCGGCTTAGGTCTAAGATTTTGATTCAAATCTTTGCTTATATTCCTTAAATTCTTTATGAAACTCGCAACAGTTCCATAAAAAATTTTAAATTCTAAACTGTCGAAATTACCGATCGGTAATCACACCCCTCACGGGTGTGTCGCTTTTTACAGGCGTGTCACTTTTAGCTAAAATTACCCCTACTCGTTAGTGAAGTCGTTAGTGAAGCCGTTTATGTGTCAGACGGTTTTGTAAATATTTAAGGTTAAGTTGGTGTTATGGTTGTGTTGTAAAATATACGTTACCGGTTTCGTAAAGTGTCAAATTCACATATCAAGGGTAAGGAGGCGCGCAGTGCCGCCGTACCCTTGATAGTCATACTAACTATTTTAAGCCGCTAAGCGGTGAGATGATCCATAGGATCTCATATTTATTTTTCCACTATCTACCTCCTATTTTATTAAGTATTCCTTCAGCTATTCCACCAACTGCGTTACCTGCTTGTGCTCCCATCGCCGGATTACCTGCTTTAGTACCTAATACTCCACCTATGATAGTTCCTGCCGTTTTCGCTACTGGTGCCAAAAAGTTTGCAACGGGTTTAATAATCTTTTTATAAACCAACCCGCAGCTTTCTTAATTCCATCCCATAATTTTTTAAAGAATCCTGCCGCCATTTCTGATTTAATATTAATTAAAAAAATATATTTCATCACTTATATTCTAATTTTTATTTAATGATAAATGAAACCAATTTTAAAAATAAATGAAACAGAGAAGGAAGAAATAAATGAAAGTGAAAATGTTCAACAAAAAATAAATGTTGTTAAACCAATTACTGAAATAAAAATTTTTTCATCTGTTGAAGAATTTAATGACTATTATGCTAATAATAAAAAATTATTGAAGAATTGACAACGTGTAAATTGAATAAAATGTTTAAAGTTGATGGATTCAAAATTTCAAAAAATAAAAGGAGTGGTTAGTTTGAAATCTATTCCTCAATCAAGAATCACCTCATTAATGAAAATTAATGATTTAACAAAAAGAATAGAAGAGATTGAAGAAAGAATGAATCAAATAATTGATTTCATAAATTCAAATAATCATTAATTTCTTAAAGTTCAATGTTGAACTCATCAATTTCTTCTTCTCGTTTATGAGGTCTTTGATTATGACTCCATTGATTCCATGAAATTAAATATTCTTTATCATTATATTTATACCTCATTAGCTTATTTTGTAGGGTTGTTAAAAATATCAAAAATTAGCGTTTTGAAGACACCATGGTGTCTTATAATTTTCCCTTCCTTATTGGCGTGTAGAAATAAATGCGCCAATAGATTGAAGAAGAAGAATTGTTTTTCTCTTAATGAACTTTAATCCTTTTGATATAAGAATATTAAAACATTAATATAATTTCGATTTCGGAAATTAAATTTCCAAATTTTTGTCGATTTCGGAAATAACATGATCCCGCATCCAACACGCAACAACAAAACACAAACACACTTTTTGGTTCTTTCATCGTTTTAATCGTAATTTATGTAATAAATGATTTGGATAAATTTTACAAAAATAGAACCTATATTATATTCTTTTCAAAGATTCTTGCAAATCATCAAAAATAATTGTATTTTAAAAAACAATCAAATTATCCTTTCATTATTTTAAACTTAAATTAGTTTTTATGATTGACTAAAGCAATCATATTTATTCATCATTAAATAAACAAAAAAATAATATTTGAGAGTTATTTCAAAAAAAACACATTGAATTTATTAATTTGTCTCAATTTCAGTATTATAAATTTTTATAATTTCAATATTTTGAAATACACTT